TTCAATACATTCACAGGTATATGTTCAGGGAACTCCAAAGTGATGTCAGCTCAACGTTGCTTCTTTTCTTAGAGGACTTTATTAATGAATTTTCAACCGTAACTGTTTCGAATACTGCAGAGCAAAGTCTTTAAATATCCCAAAGAGACCTTGGGGCCTTTGTGCCTTTGAATTCATTTGTGCCAGCTCTGTGAGAAATCCACCACACATTCTCAGCCAACAGTGGGCAGGAATGGTTGTGGTCATAAAAACAGAAATCACTGGAGGCCATGTACAGGCACTAGTACAAGAGGATGATGGAGGGTTTTTCCTTGCCAATGTGTTTACTCTACTATTTATTAACTTATTCTTTGTTGTGTCTTCATATTTGGCAAGCGCTGAGTAGCAGGTCTCCATAGCTTGCCAGTTTCCGAAAGACAGGCAATTAGCAGGTTATATACTTAATCCCCAATCCTTTGCTTTGGAGATGGAATGCTTTCCACGTGACACACTTTATCATTGGGACTCATCCAAACAATAAACAGTCATCTCTGTCTCGACTCTATAACCTTAAACACAACCTCACCGGTGCCCAATGGCAACTTGGGAAAGATTTCCTGTCACACAGGTGAGTGACTATTAGTTTACTGACCCTAGAGGTAGAGGGAGATTGTAATGATTTCTGGAGAGGGTGCTGGGGGGCCTTTCATTATAGGGGCTGAGCAGCAGTGGAGCTCTCTGGCAGGAGAGTGTGAGTTAGAAATAGATATGGAATACTCCATTTTGGTGAATTGATTAAATCTTCCAGGAGACTCCAAGACCATTAACATGAGGTTTTTTTTTATGAAGGATAATTGCTTCGAGGGATCGATAAAAATTCATAGATGTTTATACGAGTTGGGGTTTAATATGAGATGACCACAGTGATACAGAACTAATTATGGGGGTTGGAATTAAGGATGCAATTAATTATTACTGATTAGATGATTTGATTATTATTTGAGTAAATTATTACTTGGTGAGTCTCTAAATAGTGACAGAAAATTGAGAATGATGATGGTAGTTTTATGACAAGCAGTCCAAAACTCAACTTCCTCAGTTGACGATGACATTTCTAATGAACTTAGATGTTAATTTATTGCATTTTTGATTAATAAATGAAACAATGGTAAAATAGCCTGTTCGTTCATTCAGTCTCATGGATCTCATGTATGAAATGTATTAAAAGTCTTTGGTACAGTATATTTGTCATTATCGCTCTAATTTGTCCAACAATTGTCAATGGGGACAAGTTTATCATCATGAACGTTCATTAAAGGTGAAAACCCAACACCATGTGTGATTGTGCTCAGAATAAACTTCTATAGACAAACACCTAAAGTAAATAAAAACAATTGCAGTTGGCTCTCCTTTCTATAGTAGTGACAGTTTCCCTTTTCCACTTTCCAAGATGCCTTTGCAATTAATTCTGTCCTCTACTGTATGCCACATAAAATGTTCACTTTTATTCATCCACGTCAAAACCCATCTTCATTTCATTAAATAAAAATGTGCTCCTTAAATCACATCATTTCCCAGTGCGGCAGACACCACCGTCCTGTGAAGTACCTCTCACAAAATGTAACATTTCATATTTTGCTTAATACAC